TTTTTTTGCAGTTCTTCCTGTTTTAATGAGCTCCTTCTTTATGAATATTGAAGAAAAAATCACGGCAGTTTTTTCAGTAACGGCAAAGCTCTTTTCATGCATTTTCATGCATTTTTTAATTTTTTCCCTGTCAATGGAATTATATGCCATAATATGTGTTGAGTTGAGGACCTCAACTTACTTTGTTAGAAAAGCCCATTTCTTGACCTTTGATGAACTAACTACAACTTGAATGAATGCATTACCTCAGTCTTAATAGGCGATTGATGATTATTGGTGATTGGTAATCCTGAAGGAGGGGTGTGGCTGGGCTGTGTGCCTTCCTGTGCCCATCCTGGCTGATGGTGCTGTGCTCATGGCTGTCTGGACACGTTCTTCATCCTCTGATAGGAGTGCCGCGCAGGAAAACAGTGGGAACCCACGGATCTTTCGTCTCGGATGGGAGAGACCTCGACGGCAATGCTCCTGTTCTTTCATCCTGTAACATGTTTTTTAAAAAAAAGCGTGGAGCTTTGTTGTGGAGGAACATGCTTTTTCGGATTTGGCCCCGGTTTCCCTAGTGCGGCCTGTGGCTGTGCTCATCTGGAAACTTCTCTGTAAACAGTTTTGTACATAAACCCTCTACTCCTGTAAAAAGGTGTCTGTCTATGCTTTGTTCACGCACACCGAAGAGTGGGCAGCTGCTCCTAACATGGCAGAAGACTTTGTGGACAAGAGGGGCTCACGACTGATGGAGAAGTGTTCACTCAATCACTTTTATTGTCACAGTACCTTTCAGGGCAGAGCCTTCTCAAGCAACTTTATCCATTAAGAAACAGTCGAGAGAAACGACAGTAAAACCCGGTTGAAGTGAGAAAATTAAATGGATAGGGAATTAAGGTCCGTGAACACGTCCGTTGGAAGGCAGGATTTAAAAACCTCTGCAGGAGCTGTGAGCTTAATAAGGGCTGGAAGATTGCCCTGAAACTGGGGGGGGGGGGTGAGTTTGGGGGCTGCTGCTGAAAAGACCCCCAAACTCTATATGATGTGAAGTCCTATGAAGGTTGAGGAGCCTAAAGCCAGTGGAACGAGGGGAGCTGGGGGGGACAGTGACTCCTGCAGGCACCCGGGCCACAGACCATACAGTGCCTGGTCAGTCGAGGAGATTCTTGCACTCTGCCTGTAAGAGACTGGTAGCCAGTGCAGGTGTCTCAGCACAGATGTATGTTCCAGCATTCAGTCAGTCGTAGAGGATCGCTGAGTGTCGGGTTGACTGGACAATGGCCGTGGAAGACGGCTGGTGGCTAAAGGAACTGAGTCTCTTTAGTCTGTAGGGAGTGCCCCACACTGACAGGCTAAAGGAACTGAGTCTCTTTAATCTGAAGGGAGTGTCCCGCACTGTCAGGCTGAAGAAAGCGAGTCTCTTTAGTCAGAAGGGAGTCTCCTACACTGACATGCTGAAGGAACTGAGTCTCTTTAGTCTGAAGGGAGTGTCCTGCACTGACAGGCTGAAGGAACTGAGTCTCTAATCTGAAGGGAGTGTCCCGCACTGACAGGCTGAAGGAAGTAAGTCTGATCTCGGAAGCTAAGCAGGGTCGGACCTAGTTAGTAACTGCATCGGCGACTGCTGAGAATAGCTGGCGCTGTAAGCTTTTGTCTGCAGGAGGCCCTGCTCATTTCCCTCTTTGCCAGCAGCCATATCGCCCTGCAACTCCCAACTGGCAGCCCACTGCAGCTCAGCAGGTGTGAGTCTGGTCAGGACCTGGATGGGAGACCTCCTGGGAAAGCTAAGGTTGCTGCTGGAAGAGGTGTTAGTGGGGCCCAATAGGGGGCGCTCACACTGCGGTCTGTGTGGGTTCTAATGCCCCAGTATAGTGACGGGGACACTATATTGTGAAAAAGGCCCTGTCTTTCAGATGAAATATAAAACTGAAGTCCTGACTCTCTGTGGTCATTAAAAATCTCACTGCATTTCTCAAAAAGAGTAGGGGTGTAACCCATTTCCCATTGGCCTTTACCAATCATGGCCTCCTAATGATCCCTATCTTTGAATTGGTTTCATCACTCTGTTCTCCTCCCCACTGAGAGCTGATGTGTGGTGAGTGTTCTGGCGCACTGAGACTGCTGTTGCATCATCCAGGTGGGGCTGCACATTGGTGGTGGTGGAGGGGAGTCCCCATTACCTGTAAAGCGCTTTGAGTGGAGTGTCCAGAAAAGTGCTATATAAGTGTATGAATTATTATTAATATTATTAGTCTCTTTAGTCTGAAGGGAGTGCCCTACACTGACAGGTTGAAGAAACTGAGTCTGAAGAGACTGTAAGAGGACCTGATCCAAGTGACAGAGTCAACCCAGCGACTTCTTCAGTATCCACAGTCAAACACAAACCAGAGTACACAGGCGGAGACTGTTTGATAGTGTACTTAATACAATGAATAGGAAGCACTACTGTACACAAAGGGTGGTGGGAGGGTGGAGCAAGCTACCCATGTTTTTGAAGCCGATACCTATTTTCTTTCAAGACAACATCTGACAGAGATCCTCAGATAAATTAACTACTAATTGTCAAACAGCCCTGTTGGGCAGAATATTTCCTCTCGCTTCTGAACTTTCTTAATAAATACATGTAGGAAATAATCTAATCAAATTATAACATAACGAGCAGTATTCACATTGAATTAAAATGATCTGAGTGACCCGGAGCTTTGTCCTGAGTTTTTAACACTGTATGTGATCTGCAGATAGCGTATTCCCAAAGATACATATTGTGATTATTGTTTGTGAGTGTTGTTTACGGATCGAATGAACCGTAAATCGCTGAATAGAAAGATGCAAAGTCGACGCATGTGTTTACGCTTTGTAGTAAGACGTATGACAGAACTGGATGTAACCCTCAAAGAGCTGCGCAGAGAGAGGTCAGAAAAGAAAGAGTTAACTTACGCGGAGGGATACAACTGGCCTAAGCACCGAGGAGCATGTTTACTCAACATCTTGTTGTGTATCCTTCCTCCAGTTCAATAACGTACAGTATACGGGCCGAAGGGGGAAAAAACTAACGGAATTATTTTTTTTAAATGACGCCAAATATTTTTTTGTGCATGAGAAGTGAGTTAACATGACTTAGACACGGTTTGTTTTATATTATTATTGTGCTTTTATTTTTTGTGAATGTGGAGGAACATAAGTGCCGCCCGGGGACTTTATCACTCTCTGGTCGAAAATGGCTCCCGTGTTTCAATCGCTCCAACCCCCACTGTTCTGTGACATTTACGGTTCTTAAAACAATAAAATTCCTACAGACATACATATCGAGGCAGGCCACAGATACCACGGGGCATAACTTAAGCCATTTGTACCTTATCGGTTTAGCGCTTGAAGGCTTGGAAATGAAATAAAACTGAAAAACGCGCTGGGCTCAGAATGGACGCGTTTTCGGAGTGGGTGGGAATATTGAAGTTTGCCCACAGCAGGAAGACGATAATACTGTTTCGCCGAAACAAACTGTAGCCGGGTTAAATGCAAAGAAAACGGACCGGTGGGATCAGTCCTTCTGTGCGGATTAAAGGGAACCCGGGAGGGCCGTGTGCGGCGCAGTCGTGTAAAAACACTTTTTGTGCGGAGCCCGGAGCGCACAGGACCGCCGGAGACCCGCTCCCGTGAAGTTGTGCGCATCAAGATCTGGGGTCGGCGTATGTTTTGCGAGCGGGAATAATTGCACACCTTCTTCTCTTTCTTTGAAACAACTAGTTTAAAAACAAATCACCGAAGCACCCGCAGGGTTACATGCTCGATCGGGCGCCGAGCTGTTCCCCCGATGGAGGCCGCCGGCGCCGAGCTTGCGGCCGGGCTGTTCTGACTCCGGGATCGCGCTGTGAAAAGGTGGGTTTTCGTCCTCGCTTCTCTTGTACCAGAGGTTTTGTCCTTGTTAACTATTGCAAATTACTCTCCAAAAACTCTTACGCCCTTCTGTTCCTCCGTTTAATAATGTTCAATCCTACAAACTGCGGGGGTTAAAAAGGGAAATTGTATCGCCGTACAGTGTGCGAAGTGCGTTGTCCCTAACATTGTTTCTTATTTAAACATTTAGACACGCCATTCTGGGTTACCGGTGTCTTATTCTTCCCCGCTGATGGATTTTGTTAGGCATTTATTTGTTTAGCACTGTATTAAAGAGAGTTTTATTATTTTGGGAGTAACTTTTTTTAAAGGTCCATTATTATTTTAGGGAACGTCAGTAGGGTTTCCTTATACAGTCCTGCCCGTGTACCAAGCGGATGAGCCCCGCACCGTTCAAATCAAATATGATGGTTTAATATTATTATTTCTGAGAGCTGGAATGCACTCAAAACGATATGTAGCTCAATAACGAACAATTCCCAGCGTACAGAAACAGGCCACCCCATCCCACCCTTTGTTTTAGCTATCATTTGTATTCAAGGTTTTTATTTTTTATTTTTTTTTAACACGGTTAGGAGCTGAAAGTTATTTTCGCGTGTAAGAGTTGGGATACGTTTCCGTTCGTTTTTGGTTGTCCTGGGATTTGAGAAATTTATGTCGCTTTCAGGCCTCCATCAAAACATTGCATCTCTCCATTTTAATTGGGGAATAAATCTCTTTTGTTTAACCTCAACTCCCCCACCCCCTCCGCTATTAATGAAGACGAAATTTAAAAAAAAAAACACCTTGGAGGCACGGTTTAGTTTTTAATAATGAAGCTTGATTGTATTTATAGTATGGTGTTCTGCCCTGGCTGTGTTAATGTATGTTGTTTATTGAAGAAAACAAGACATATGTTTTTATCTCAAGTTCATGTACTTTCATGAAGTATTTGATATTCCTGGATAAAATCCTGCATGTTAGCGCAACGTGTATTTACGAATAGCGTTTTAATGAGCAATTTACTTAAATAATAGGGATATACCAATATTTCATGGCTACTTCTCCTTTTCCCTAATATCTGATAAGCTATGTTTTCATAACCTCTCTGTAGATTTGTTTATAGTTCAACTATGATTAACGCTTATCCCCATACTCTAAAACATTTCAGAAGTAGTGAAAATGTTATTCTAGATACACAATGTTAATTTAACATTATATGTCTTGTGTTTACATCGGCGAAATTTTAAAGGGGTTGCGGGGTCATTCTGGATACTTCACAAATAGAAACTACAAGGGAAAGTATGGCTGAAATTGAGTTTCATTGCTTTTGTGTGTGTTTACCGTCGCATCTTAGCCTGCGAGAGTGTTAATTTGGGTTTTTCGTGTTTCTCTTTCGATTTCGGCCTATGGGCCTAACCGCCGGGCACATCCCCGAGCTTTCCTACAGAGCGTGGCCGATTGCGCTGCGGTGAAACGCGTTTTAGTCATCTGGTTCATATAGAGGTTTTGAACCTGTAAGGGCAATTTTCGGGAAATGTTTTCGCTAAACTATTCGCATATTCAATTTATGCTTTAGCTTGGTTAGCGGTCTGGGATGAAGAAAAGTGAGTTTTTAAAGTGTTATTTTAAGTCCATAGTGAGATTGACCTTAAAGTAACGTGGCGGGCGGGATCACACTCGCTGTATCGCAACAGTGCGTGCTTTTAGGTCAATTACTAAACAAAAGTTTTGAAACCGATTTATTTAGGATAACGTACTGACCCTATAAACAACGTAGAAACTGCAGGATATAAATACATGAGTTATATTTAAATACATTCACCTGATTACTTTTATGAGATGCGAGTTGCAGTTTATTACAGTTCTATAAACTGCAGTAACTTATTTATCAGAAACAAGTTACATTACAAGAACACTGTTGTAGTAAACATTTGAAGTATCTGTACATATTTAATATTTGATGTTGTCTAATCTCATCTAGTTTTCTTCCTACAAAGTTAAGTGTGCTCTGCATTCAGTTTTAGTAACAGTCCTTAAATGTGATTTGAAGTGTCTTTTAGTAAAGCTAATCTTATGTTTCAGGCATGAAGTAAATGAGTGAGAAATGCTTTTTTAGCCCTCATTGGTAATGGCAAAGAGCAGGACTCCAGCACAAAATCTGTGCTTTAGCAATAACAGAATTCTACAATCAATGAAAGCAGATTTACAAATAAGCTAAAAAATGAGTTAGAACAGGTACATGGTGGTACACTGGTAAGCATTGCTGCCTTGCAGCATTGGAGCTCTGGGTTTAATTCCTGTTGTCCTTTCTGTTTGGAGTTTGTATGTTCTCCGACAGTTCAAAGACCTACTGGTAGGTTAATTGTCTTCTGGGAAACTTGGCCCTTGTGTGTGTTTGGGTGCCCTGCAAAAGCATCCTGTCCGGTGTGTGCCCTGCCTTGTGCCCGTTGCTTGCTGGGATAGACTCCGGCTCCCGGATGACCCTGAATTACAAGACATGGTTAGAAAATGGATGGAGGCATAAATTAAAACAGCAGTTACATGACAAGAGATTAATGTGGGAGTAGGTTAATCCCATTAGCCATGTCTTTGAATCAGGTATAATGGTTCCCTTTACAAAGGAGATCAAGAACAAGACAATGCCATTCGTCTAGGCAATCTTGTAGTCAATAGCAAATTGATTTGAGGTGCTCATCCATCTAGTTCTTGAAAACAGGGTATCGGCTTAAACCACTTGTCTGGGTAGCTTGTTCCACACCCCACCATACTTCGTGTAAAGCAGTGCCTCCCATTCTTAGTTTTCTGTGCACCTTTCTGTAGTTTCTGCTTATCTCCTCGGATTCAGGTTTCACCCATGGGGAGGTGTCTATAAAAATCGGTTTGGTTACAGCGCACGCAGAGAAACTGTTATGTACTAGGCAGCCTCCCTTAATTCATTCTCCCTATCGCTCACAGCTCAACAGGAAGAGGAAAAGGGGACTCTAGTGGCATGTGGTGGCACAGCTGGCCTGTGCTCCCCTGCAGAAGCTCCACACTCCCTCCATAAATGAACACACGCAGGAAGTGTGGCGTGGCTGGAAATTGTGCGGGTCAGGTTGGAAGAACACTGCCCGTGCTTTACTGGCAGCACGCTGGCGCGTGGCTCTTGTGGACCAAGGCGCTGTGCCTGAGGAGTGTGGAGAGGTGGCAGGGCCATTCTTCTGGATAGTTGGGAATGAAATCCACAGGGTCACAGAAGAAAGGTCTGTTTCGATACATTGTGCTGGCTTTTGATGTTTCTGCTTCACTGATTGGTAAATGTCGTGCTCCTGCTGTGTGCCGTACAACAGAAGAAGGGTTACTGACGGGAGGAAGGCACTTAGCCCTCCGCGGACTTGTTTGGCAGTCCAGTAAGGGAGCCTAAAATCTCATGCAGCTGATTCTTGAGCCTAGTTGGGTCCTCATCCATCGTCCTTTAAAGCCTGTTCCAGACACATGCAACTCTTTGCGTAAAGCAATTTTAAATTCTCCATTCTAAGTTATTCCCTTTTTTGTTTCCAGTAATGACTTTGTCATAATCCAGCACATTGTGGTGCGTGGCAGGTTACACTCTGGACAGGACATCAGTCCACCTCACACACAGACACAGACACACTCATACCAGGGCTAATTTTCCTAGAACCTAATTACCTACCAGTGTGTTTTTGGACAGGGAGGAAACCGGAGCACCTGGAGGAAAACCTCATCAATATGGGGAGAACATACAAACTTCACACAGATAGAACCCCAGGAGTCGAATGCAGAGCCCCAGCGAAAAACAATGCGTCACTGTGCTATCAGGATGTTCTATATTTTGAGCAGATCTCCTAGCACTTTTCTCTGTTGGAGAATGAAGGGGTTTAATTTCTTTAGCCTGTCTGTATATGGTAAAGTCCCTAGCACAAGGGATTATGGATGCTCATCTTTGGAGCTATGGGAAAGCTGACTGGATCTGTCAGTCTTAAATGCACTAAAATGCACATTTGTTCCAGTTTGTACCCTCGGTTTAGATTTTCATGGCTGTGTGGTTGAAGTGGTTACTTGGGTGGTCTTTATTGAACTCCTTCATTATCTTGGGTGCTTGAATCAAGTCCCTTCATTTGAGGAGCTAATTAAAAGTCTGCAGGCATGAAGAACCTTGCTCGGGTGTTCGGTGAACTAGATGCGGTGGTGTCGGGGACTGAGATTCAGTTTTGCCGGTGCATGATGGGAGTCGGTGTGTGATTGTGTTGCTGGCATGGGCTTGCAGGCCCTGTTCACTGCAGCACTGGGCTGTGTGTTTAATGTTCGGACACTGAACGGTTCTTGAAGCCCTTTGGGGGTGTTACATGTGATGGCTGTTCTTACAGTGCCTTGTGTATGCTGTGCAGGGGTGGAGGCCAAGGGCTCCCAGTCCTGGAGGCCCACACACCTGCTGGTTCTCATTCCCACTGAGCTCAGTCACCTTGTCGAAGCCTAAAATGATCTAATAAGCTGCTTGATTGGAATTTCTGCAGGATAATTCCTACTCAAACATTTGAAATTTCTTTACCTCCGAACGGCCACCTCCATGTGTCAGGAACTGATCATGTTTAAGGGCTGAAAACAGTTCTGATTCATCCAATTTGTAAGTCAAGGAAAGGTTCAGTTGTGCAGCAGCCCTGGATGGCAACAGGCACCATCAGGTGTGTGGAGCTGCAGAACAAGGAACTCCTGGTCTAGATGACCCATTTTGTTTCCCAGGAGGTTCCTGGTTCACGCCCTGCTGTGCCGTGGCATGCCGATGGGCTGCCCTAGTCTCTGTGGGGTTCTTTGGGCATAAGACCTGCTATGGTCAGCTGAGCTGATCCGAAGAGGGGTACCTGGTGCAGCAGGCATGCAGCTGCTGCTGACGGTTGTCATCACCTGGGGCCAGCAGGCACAGTCAGCGCTGATTGTAGGCATTTCTGGAGCATTCTGGGACGGAGTGGAATGGCATGCGCCGACGCTCACAGTGGTGTTGAAGTTGAGAGCAGGATGTTATTAGCTGGGTGCGTTTGTGATTTCCGCAACCCATCCTCATGCCACTCTTTGCATCCCGAGTGTGGGGCTTTTGTTGTGGGGGGGCAGCACTGGGGAAGGGAGAAAGACGGAAGCTCGGTTGAATATAGCCAGATCAGAGGTGTGTTTGACGTTTCCTCCTGGGGAGCAGACGACTGGCAAGAGGGTGTCAGACCCACTTGTTTTGTTGCAGCCAGAACCCCTTGATGGGAGAAAGGACCAGCTATGAGAGAGAGAGATCCTCGCTCATGACATGGGACAGAACCCCTTGGAGCCCCTCTGACAAGTCCGGGGGCAAGGCAAGACATGCACATGTGCTTCGTTTCCACCTTGGAAGTTTGTAGGTGCCAGAGAACAAAAAAGTCTGTCCTGCTTCTCGGTCCCTGGTGCTCCTGGTCCAGTTTTCATGCGGAAGGTGAAACATTGCTCCTGGTGGCCCAGGTCAGCTGCTGACAGTCGGGGTTCCTCAGGGATTTAAACTCTGTTTACTGGACACTGGGGGAGGGGGGGGTCTCCAGGAGATTGGATAAAAACTTCACTCCCAGTTCTGTGTGAAACTGGAAGTGTGGCAGTACAGGAAATCCGTATTTGGACCTGAAATTCATATTGTGAGACCTATTGTGGGGACCTTAATGAAGCCTTAGTCCAGGGATTCCCTCTTTTGAAGAAATAGGAGGCTGGGAGCCCTATTTTCAGGGCTGGTCCCAAAGGAGTTAGTCAGACCTCAGTGTTTTCACCTTAGGGACTGAGGACACAAGTGAAACTGGACGCTTGCCCACGGAGTGACTTCAAGCTCGGCCGGTGGAGAGCTGGGGGTCTGTATTCGCAGTCGGTGGGAATTCTCTACTGAAGTGACCTTTTTTTGTGTCCTAAATGCCTGTAAGCAGCTACAACTTTAGAACATTTCATTCTATGAGTACCCTTGTTGATTTTAGGCTGTAACCTGCTGTTTGAACAGTTTTGGATGGAAACAGTGAATATTTGCATCTCGCTGTTGGTGGCTCTGTAATAAGGCTTTATTTTGTGTGAACGTTTTTAAAAAAGGAAAGCTGTTTTATTAAACATGATAACCTGTGATGTTCTGTTTGAAGCGATGGTCACTATAAAGTAGTTTAAACGTTCAGCAGATTGTTCCATTCGATATTAATAAAATAATCATTTAAATATGACATTGAGTTTAAATATGATCATATTTCAATAAGGGAATTTATTTAATCATGATATTTGGAAGTAGCCGTACGGTGGAGTGATTCTGATCATCCACGTTTCACTATTCCTTTTTATGAGTTTCGAAACAAATACATTTGCTTCATGTCGTCGCTGCCGGAACCTTTCATCCTTTTTGTTGTTTCCTCACGGCGCTTCCGACTCGTACAGGAAGTGTAGCACACGGAAGTGGCCTTTTCTTTGTGTATCTGCTTTGGGGGGGGTAGTTTATTTTTAGAAAAAAAATCCTGGAATTAAAATCCGGTACTCTACCCCGTAAGAAGAAGGGTGCGCCGGGTTTTTTTTTATTTTAGGACTGTGGGTTTGCATGTGACGTCGGCGGAGGACGCCGGGAAAGTCCGCGCAGCATCTCGGCGTCCGTCTGCCGTCCCTGTTCCTGCGGAGCTGTGGCGCTCGGGCGCTTGAGCCCTCGGCGGCGAGCGTGCAGGCTGCGTCCCGACTGACCGCCGGCAAGCAGCGCGATGTGTCTGTCCGCGGAGCCCGGCCGGCTGGCGTGATGTAACCCCCGGAGGGCCCGGACTGCGGTGCGTGCTTCCTGGGGCTGGCCGGCAGGACTGGGGGAGTCTTTAAAAAAGAGCGAGCACTTCTATGCGTGTGTAAACATATTCATCAGACCTGTACACTAGTAGGCTGTTGTGTCGGTTGTTATTTATTTAAATAGCGGTCGTGTGGATGTAGACGCTTCGGAACGAGACGTTAGAAACGTGGGGAAAAGCCGTCGAAAGGCTCAGTGAAGTGTATTTTGTTGTCGACAGCAATCTGAACTAAAATACAGGTGTGCAGATGAGCAGTCGTGCCGGTTTCCTGACGTGTATCGGACACAGCGCATAACTATGGAAATGTGGGGAGTAATTAAGAGTTCAATCAGGTGCTTAATTATCCAGATCGGCAGGTTCTGTATCCGGTTACATACAAACCCCCCGAGTTGAATGTTCCCGTTGAGTATCCCTCCATTAAAGGCTCTGTAGCAGGTAACACATTGCAGTGTGTCCTATTTCAGGGTAAAGGACTTGTGTTTAGTACTGGAGTACATTAAGTGTTTTGTGCCACCTGGACACTTTCATTTTCCTGAAGGTGCCTGGATATTCACTAATGGACCTGGGCAAGCTGGAGGAGTGGCCATGAGGCATGAAAGCAAGCGGGGTTGATGATTCTCATCTTGTTTGTTTGTGTTCAGCCACTTTTTTTGTTAAGACTTGAAGTGCTGATGCTCCTAAATCCCTCGCCCCCTCCCTTTCATCCGGCTCCTTCCTCCATTCTGTCCGTCTCCCGGATTTTCCCTGACAGTCCGTGGCTTCTGCCTTTCAGGTCTCTCTGTGAGGGAGATCGGGATCGGGAGCAGGGATGGCTGAACAGAAATCCAACTGCGAGGAAAATGATTCCGAAACAGCAGGTACTGGGACTGTCTGAGCGAGGGGTGGCGCCGACCTGTTCTCCT